AGGGACCCCGCTGTGTCCCAGCACCCTCCCCTTGCCCCGGGGGGGCAGGAATGGGGTCCCAGTGGAGGGCAGAGCAAACCCAACGTGGCTGTACCTGTCTGGGGAACTCTTCCCAGGATGCTCTTGCCCCTTTTCCAGCAGATCCCCGTTGGTGGTCTCCGCTGCCGTGACAGGGCTTGGGGCCACGCTGGAGCTCGGGGCCACGCTGGAGCTCAGTGCCTCTGTCTTGGGGCAGGAGACGTTCCCCACAAGTTCCTGGTCTGTCCCAGCCATCGCTGCCCCCGGGGTGTCCATGGGCTGAGCCGCCTCCTCCTCCCGCTCTGCGTGCCCAGCGGCTGAAGGTGAGTCCGTGCCCGGCTCAGAGGTGCTGGGCATCTCAGGGGACGTGAGGCTGGGGAGCGGGGCTGTCCGGGGGGTTTTGTCGCTGGGACTCCCTTTCTCCCGGCAGCTCTGGCTACTCTTGGCTTTGCCCAGGCTCTTCCCTGCCTTGCCCAGGTTCAGCCTGGGCATGGTGCCCATGTGGCTGTACATGTCCGATGACCGGGCGTAGGGGCCGGGGCTCTTGGGCATGGTGTTGAGATCATCCTGGGTGCTGTCGAAGGGCACGGCCAGGAAGCCGTGGGGAGGAGGGAGACCCGGCGCCAGGCTCTCGTGAGCGCTGGGGGCCACGGACACGCGCCGGAGGGTGAAGGAGCGGATGATGCTGCTCGGGCTCCCGAAGCCTTTGAACTTGAAAAACTCTGTCACAAGAGAGGGGAGATGAGTGTGGGGTTACTGCGGGCGCAACGTGATGGTGGAGGGTTCCGGGGGGCCTGGTCCCGGGTTGGGGTGGGCACGGGGCACTGCGCCGTGATGCAGCTTGGTGTCAGCCCCGTCACACCCCGTGTCTCCGGTCCCCGCCCAGCGTGACGTCCCTGTGGCCTGGGGTGTACGTGATGCTGCTCAGGGCTCTGTCGGGACCCCGGGAGGTCTGTCCCGGTCCCTCGGGGAGGAAACCTCGCCCGTGCCCTGGCAAATCTAGCGACTGCGCTTCCCCGCTGCAGTGGTGGGGGCGGAGAAAGAAACACCCGGCCCTGGCGAGCAGGCAGTGTAAGAAATAACTTCAAATCTCTTCCT